CCTCGTGATCCCCCATTGATCACAGAAGGAAAATCTTAAAATTTCAAAATGTCAAAATGTCAAAAATCCATATGTTATACCATTAAGATCAGAATAAAAAGATTTTAATTAACAAGATTTAATTTACGAATACTTTCGTTACTTTTGATATGGATTAACTCGAGCTCTATTTTTATTTAATATACTTTTCAATATGAATATCGCGACTTTAATACAATTTCTCTTTCGTTTTTTTTTTTCCTATTAAAATTTCTTTTTTACTTTTTTCTTTTTTTAAATTTAAAATTTTAAATACTTTAGCCAAATGAATCGCAACGAGTTACTGCGGGACGTGGATTTGTTCATCACCGGTTTAATTAATTTCTCGTATAAATCTCTCTCTCTCTCTCTCTATATACATATATATATATATATATGCCTACATAAATTATAAAATGAATGATTAGAAGAAAAATAATAAAAAAGATACAAAAATATACAGACGAATCTACGATGCATTTATCTGTCGTTATTTCATAGGGGGGGAAAAAAAAAAGAATAAATAAAAATAAAAAAGAAAAAGAAGTTAGTTCTTAAACAAAAGGAACACGTCAATGGCCATTTAATTAGACGTATTTAAAATTTATTTAAAACAAGATTCTTCTTACGTTCGAGTAATCGTAATATCATATCATTGTAAAATTAAAAATCTAACATTATCAAAACATTTTCGATCGATAATATCTGTCTGCGATATAAATATAAAATACTCACTATGAAATCTATTTCCACGAGTGGACAAGAGCTGATGGAGTCGCTGAAGTGTATCCTTGGTTTCTTTCTCGTGCTTGTCTCGTGCCCTTGCTTGTAATCGTAATTCCATGTCGGCTGAACAACAAACCTCCCCTCCGCTGCTTATACCACCGCATATTTTCAATTCCTTTGCTGTAACATGGAAAAAAAAGGGCAAACGAGAAATTAATGAGAGAGAATTAATTAAAAAAATATATATAAATAAATAAAATAAAATAAAATAAAATAAAATAAAATAAAATAAAATAATTAATAAAAGAGAAAAATCGAAGATCGATCAAGAGAGAGAGAGAGAGAGAGAGAGAGAGAGAGAGAGAGAGAGAGAGAGAGAGAGAGAGAGAGAGACAGAAAGAAAGAAAAAAAAAAAGAAAAGAATGATAATCGTCGTTCGAAATTTCGAATAGAAAGAAATCGCAATTGTAGGTACGTATGAAAGTTAAAGGGATACGTTTCATTTTTGACTTTTATCTTTTTCCTTCTATCTCTATCTCTTTCAGATTGTAATTTCACTCTTTAAACGATATCTCTCGCAGCGGAGTAAATCCGATTTAGTAAGGAAAAAAGCTTCTCGTTCATCGTAGAATCAATTTTCTGGGATCACTGCTTCCAAGGGAGCAAGAGAGAAAAGACAGACAGATAGAGAAAGAAAGAGATAGAGAGAGAGAGAGAGAGAGAGAGAGAGAAAATGCTGAGAAAGAATCCATGCCATAGTTTCTCTCTCTCTCTCTCTCTCTCTTTTTCTCTCTCGTTTCCGCAAACAGAGAAAAAGAAAAAGGAAGAAAAAAAAAACAAGAGTAAAAAAGAAAAAAGACCAAAAAAAAAAAGGAAAGAAAAAAGGAACGAAGAGACGCGAATTGGTTCGTCCTATAACCGGGTAACACCCAATCTCATCTTCCTTCGGAATGAATTTTCATCGATATATAAATTCTTATTTGAAATTTGCGCCTTCTCGCTCCACATTTTACTCTCTCTCTCTCTCTCTCTCTCTATCTCTCTCTTTTTCCTTCCTTTTTTTCTCTTTTTTCTCTTCTTTCGTACGATCAATTCGGAATATTTTTTTTCTTCTTCTTCTTTTTTCTTTTTTATTTTCTTCTTTTTGCTTTCCTTCTTTTCAAGAAGAATAAGAACAAGATAGATAGAGAGAGAGAGAGAGAGAGAGAGAGATCAATTCATTTTCATACTTCCTTTTGTTTTTGTTTTCTTTGTTCTTTTTTTTCGTACGATCAATCGAAAATAATTTTTCTATTCTTTCTTCCTTTCTTTTTCTGTTTTTGTTGTTTTTAAGAAAAAAAGAAAGAACAGGAAAAGGAAACTTCAACGTTACCACCAACAGGATATATTATACTTTACTTTGTCGACTTTAAGCTACTACTACTATTACTATCACTATACTATTACTACTACTACTAATACTACTATACACGACATTTTATGTCGAGTGTGTTTGAAGAAGAAATACTCACATACGAGTGGTAACGTAAATGCAATTTACTTCGAAAAATCGAAGGTAAAGGAAAGAAACAGAAAAAAGAGAGAGAGAGTGAGAGAGAGAGAGAGAGAGATGAAATGCTTGAAAAGTAGTAGTACGACATTGTTTTTCTTCCGTAGTGAAGACTATCGTCGATGTTACAACTCTGTGTGTGTGTGTGTGTGTACACTATTCCTTCTTTCATTTACTTCTTTATTTTTGTTGTTGTTGTTGTTGTTCTTTCTTTATCACATCCGGTAGCCCCTCATTCTTTTCATTTCACCCTTTTCAAAGAAACCGTAAAGATCATTGAAAATTAATTACTATTACGATACATTTGTGTTATTTCCTCTGTTACTTTCTTCCTTTTTTTCTTTTTTTTTCTACTTGATTTCTTTCGGCGATTATAAAAGGGAAATATTTTTCTATCCTGTCTATCTCTATTTATCTAACTATATATATATGTCTATCTATTCGGCGCGTTTTTATTAATTATCTTTTCGTGCTTCGTTAATACTTTATAAGCCGATTTTGTTTGTTTTCGGGATGAATAAAAAAAAAAGCAAACAAACAAACAAACAAAAGAAAAAAAAAAAGAAAAAATAAAAATAATCTCAAACGAAAGTTAACAGTAAAATCCTACGTTTTCCACCAAACTTCACGTCAATCTCTATCTATCCATTTATCTATCTCTCTCTTTTTCTCTCTCTCTCTCTCTCTCTGCCTCTCTCTATCTATATATCTATCTCTTCCTATATCCCTGTCTCCGTCTCACAGCTCGTTCCATCGAGGAAGTTTGAAACACGCCGTAAAAGTAATCCCAATTCATTTCCACGGGATTGCCCGTGTTGTCTATTCGTGTGTGTGTGTGTGTGTGCGCTTGTATGCGACACACACATAGACATCCACACCCATACTCTCTCTCTTTCTCTCTCTCTCTCTATCTATCTATCTATGTTTCTTCGTAAGTACTACTTACTACCTTCTACCTATCACTTGCTAAGAATTAACGAGAAAAGTAATTCAATTTTTATCTCTAAGAAAACGAAGATTTACTTATTTATTATTATTATTATTATTATTATTATTATTATTATTATTATTATTATTATTGATCGATGAAAATATTATTTAATGATCTTATATCTTACATCGAAAAGGGAGAGAAAGTAAAAGCAAATAATCGTGCTCGAACATTGTCACCAATTTTTTTCTTCTTCCTACTATTTTTTTTTTTTTTTTATTTCTATTCATTTTTTAACGCCACCGATAAAAGAACCGCATCATCTCGAGACGTAATATCGTAATTTCGCGAAAGAAAATTCGTCATAGAAATTAATACCTCATATCTGAACTTCAATTAAAAGATTTGTTTATAGATCGTCGAATCGCAAGGATTATCAAACTTAAATTAAGATCGAAAAGAAAAATAACGAACGACGGGATCGGTCGGAGGCTGTTGGGGGTGGGTTGGGGGAGGAGGGGGCAATCTAAGGGTGGTTGATGGGGTGGCTTGGAGAAAGGGGGTGAGTGGGTTTGGAGGATTCCGAGTTTATTGATCGCACCGACCGTTGCTAAAGACAGACCACGCGTTTAATTCATTCGTTCTGTGATCAAAAGCAAATCCGTTCGTCAGTTTCCAAGTTTGGCCATCTCTCTCACTCTCTCTCTTTCCCTCTCTCTCTCTCTCTCTCTCTCTCTCTCTCTCTCTCTCTCTCTCTCTCTCTCTCTCTCTCTCTCTCACACACTCCCCTTTCAGATCGTGAAATTGACGCATCTGCATGTTACTGACGCCATTGTCGTTGTCGTCTACGTCGTCGTCTACGTCGACGTCGTCATCGTCGTCTTTTCTTCCTCTTCTTCGGAAAGAAAGGGTGATGCCTAATCGAATTGGGACCCCTTTTCGTCTGGCTATCCGCAATGAAACCCTACGAATCGTAACTGGATACTGCGTTATCCTTTCTGTTACCAACACGAATATATTATTCGTTAGTTAGTTATATTCGACGTATGTACATATGTATATCACGCGAATCTTTAATAAAAAAACGGGTTTAAAAACGGATCGAAACCAAACAATTCTGGATATATGGGATCAATGTATTTTGGACTCTACGTTTTAATGAACGATGTTTTACTTACTTTTTGGAAAAAGCTTCGTTCTGTTTTCTTTCTTTCTTTTTTCTTTTTTTTTTTTTAACTCTCTTCGAAATGCCATACAAAATTCGTAAGTTTACGAAGGAGCAACGAAATTGTTGAAATTCATATTTATTTTGTTATTTTTTTGCGTGCATATTTATCGTTTTAAAAATTTTGCTAATTAATTGAAAAATATAAAAAACAAAAAGAGAGAAAAAAAAGAAATAGAAAAAAGGAAAAACTAAAAATCATAAAACTTCTGATTTAATCAGAACTCAAATAGTTTTATATTTCATACTCGTGAAATTAATTTTTACACATGAAATCGTCATGAAACTTTACTTTTTCCTTATACTTTTCCTTTCCCATTCCTCCTCCATAAAACAAACACTATAATCCAATTGACTGTTGATTTATAATCAACCTGTATGTATAGAACGACGTTATACAGATCCACTTAAATTGAACACGAATTTCGTTGGATTGGGGTGAAAAAGAAAAAAAAACTAAAATGAAACAAAACAAGAAACAAAACAAGAAACAAAAATAAAAAAATGCAAAAATAAACGAAAAGAATCGCGAAAAAAAGAAAAAGAAATATGATGGATAGAGGAAGCGAGTGAAATGAAAACAAAAACAAACAAAAAAAACAAGAAAGAAAGAAAGAGAAGAACAACCACTAAAAAAGAAAAAGGAAAAAATCTTTTCTCGTTCCATAAATTTTACTATTTTCGACAGGGGTAGGGGGACGATAAAGGGGTGAAGATGAGGGAACAATCTAGCGAGCTACTATTAGACTGTGAATGCACAAAAATGCATCGTTCGAATAAATGTGTAGAGAGAGAAAAAGAGAGAGAGAGAGAGAGAGAGAGAGAGAGAGAGAGAAAGAGAGAGTAAAAGCTCGAATGTAGATGCGTTTTCGATCGATAATTGACGATATATCGAACGTTCGACCCCTCACTTAAACGCGGTGTTGCGCGTCCGTTGAAATTGGAAAATTTCCATTGTAAGTAGATTTTCGGAAATGGCGGGACGAAATTCAATTCCACGACGAGATATCCAAGTTTCTCTCTCTCTGTCTCTCTCACTCTCGTGCATTGCTTCCGCTCGAGGGTATATAACAGGGAACGTTCAACGATGTTGCCGGAAGGCAACCGGCCATTTTTATTCGAATATATTAACGATGTGGAATCCGAGGAATCCCTTTTCTCCATATTTTTTTCTTTTTCTTTGCTTTTCTTTTTTTTCTTTTTTTTCTATTTTTTTTTCTTTTTTCTTTTTTTTTTTTTTTTTTTTTTTTTAACGCATCGACATATATACACATATATATGTATATAGAATTAATATTAGAAAAAAATTTATAAGATGATATAGAAGATATAATTTAAAGATATAATTAAAATTCTTTTCATCTTAGAAATTAAATTAATAATTAAATAATTGATCAATTGTTTCTTTAATAAGAAATCAAATTTAAATCTAATCTAATTTAAACAACGATTGAAATAAAATGAATGAAATAAAA